GTTGGCGCCCTGTCATCGGTCGCCGCTGGCAGCAACATTGCCGATGCATTACCGACAACAGCACCGCCGTCCCAAACGCCTTTATCAGGAAAAATTTTAGACTTATCTTGCTGTTTTTGTGTTTGTTCGGCGTTCAAGTCGTTGCCTTTTGCATGTTTGTCTATGGAAGGACCGGTCATACATTCTGCTATGCCGCGTTGACTCACGGGCTTGACCTTCTTACGGCCCCTCATATCTATTTTATGATCGATAATACTAAGTTCTGCACACTACGGAGCAATCTGGCAGCAATAGACGTTTTTGGCTGAAGGAATGAAAATGTACGGATCGGCCTCACTTTGTTCCTTATTTCCAAAGGCCAAAAAGGCCTCTTTATTCCTTAAAAGTAATATATTACTTAAAAAAAAAAACTGCCCCCACAACACCGTGATCACGTCTCCGTACACCGTACATCGTACCTGGATTACCGTCAACGCCTGCGACATTCGCTTGCTCAGCAGACACATCATTGCGCCGTCAAAAGCTGGTAGCGGCCGCCACGCCCGAAACGCCGCCCAGCCTGCCGGCACGGGCTCCCAAACACCGCCGCTCGAATGACCCGTGGGTCGCGGCGGCGGCTTGTCAGGCACGTAGTTGGGCAGCCGGCCCGTGGCGGTTAGGTACCGGTGTGTCAGCAGCTGACTCTCGTTCATGTGCTGGTACGACATACATACCGCGGCGTGAGGCCCCGTCAGGTAGGCAGTACGATGCTCGTCACACACCCAGCCCCAATGGCAGTGGGGGCAGCAGCTAAGGCCGCTGCCGCCGCCGCTGGCGGCAGCGGCAGCGGCGGCCGGCAGTTGCACGGCGGCGGCGCTTCCGTGGTGGTCGCATGCGGTGCCGCTGCTGGCGTCTGGAGCGGCGGCGGCGGCGGCGGCGGCGGGGGCGGGGGCGTGGCCAGCAGCCGCAGCCGCAGGATTGGCTGTTCTGCTCTTGGCGAGCTGAGTGCGGGTGCGCATACAGACGCTGCATTTCGCCTCTCCAAGAATAGCACGGAGTTCGCCGCGACTTAGCGGGCGACGTAGCAAGGGCTCCAGAACTCGCTGACAGTTAGTACCGTAGTGCTACTTATAGTTCGTGATCGCTTTGTTCGGGGAGGGGTCAAAAAACTTTCTGAAATTTGTACGTGCTCTTTGAATTTCGGGGAAGGCCGGACCAGATTTTGCAGGCATGATACAAATTTCGGGGCCCCTTCCAAAGTTTCGGGGCTTTTCAAACTGCAGCTTCCAGTCAGTCTCCCTCCACCGGGAACCCTTAGGCTCATGGTCTCTCACCATTTTCGCACTTTGAAAACGCCCTAGCAAATTCTGGACCGATCGTACAGTTCAGTACCAGTGGCAACGACCTAATAACCAACCGGCCGGGCCAATACAGTGTTTGGGTGGTTGCTACTGAAACGTGTCTTCATGTGGCTGAAACCCCGACGTAAAGG